TCCGGCGAATGGAGTCGCCGCCGGTCAGGTAAGTTCACTTTCATTCATTTCTTTTATTCCTCTTAACAATTCAAAGAACTATTACTCCCATCAATTTTTAAAATAAAAAAAGATTAATGAGAGAGGAATTATACCTTTGTTTCCCCCCTTTTTCTTTCCCCCAACTTCTTCACTTTCTTCTCCTTCTTCTTCTTTTCTCTCTTCACAATCCTTATCTAGTTCTCAGAGGGTTTGGTTGAGGATGAGAGGATATTTTCCAATTTTATTAATTTTTCCCTTGTTTTTTTTTCTGTGGTTTTCTTTGATTTCTCTGTTTTATTCCTCCGTTAAGGAAGTGTCGGCCAATTTGTCGAATGGATTTTAGCCACTAAACACTAACGTGACAGATAATCAGGAGTTAGGGGTGAAATCCTTCTCTAATCTATAATTAAAAAAATTCTCCATTAATCAAGTTTTAAGGCACTAATTATTTAGGCTATACTACATGAGCCATGCCGGTCCTCCTTACGGCGTCTCTCGCTAGAACATCGTGCTCAACTCCTCCATCGTGTTTCTGTTACACGGATCCTGGGACATCATAGCCATCTGGGGCCACGTGATAATCCCTTTTTTTCGTTACCCTGAACTTCGCTTATATAAAGATTGTTTTCGACCTTTAATCAATTGCTGGGCAGCTAATAAGAAGCTAATAACGTGGATCAACGGTTCTGTTTCAGGTTTCAGTGGCCCCACAAAGAGGAATCCCACGTCCGCACCGTTCACCTCTATTTGATATTTTTCATCCTAAATCCTCAACTTTCCTCTATTTACTAACACGCATTTATGTATCGCTCGAGCTGAGCCAAGAATCGACGGCTCCAGTCGTACAAGCTAGTAATAAGAAAATATTTTTCGCGACCCTTTCGAAAATCTCCTTTGACAGTTCTTATTTTCTTTCTCCTCTCTCGAGTCCTATCGCACTTCCCAAAAGCCCTAACCCGAGCCCGCGATCCTCTCGCTTCCACACGCAATGGAGACTCGTGCGCTGAAGTCGCAGTCCCTCTGCTCCTAGGTAGGTTTCTCTTGTGCCTAGGGATCTGGATTTGCTCGGGTTGATTTACAATTGAGCTTGATCTCGGTCCCCTCGTGCGGTTCTGTTATCTAATTCTTTGTTTTGGTAGTGGTATTGGTTTCTGGGACGATCTTCATTCTTGATTTCGGGTGGGATTCTTTTGCGCCCTGCGATTTGGTGATTTTGGGGGTGATTTTACGGGTCGTTACTTTGAGTTTAGTCCAAGTTTAGATTTTTGATGCAAAAGCAGGAAGAATTTCCTTTTTTTTAAAAGGAAAACAAGTTTAGCCTGTGCGAGAAATTACTGTTTAGTTGGTTGCATGCTTAATTGGTTTGGTTTCGGATGCCATTCTTTACATGCTGACAAAAGTTATCCCTTTGAATATGAAAAGTTGCTACAATGTGGCGAAAATTTCCTTCAATGGATGATGTTAAATCAATCTCTACGTATTCGTTATGGTTATGATGTATTAGATTGCTGTTGTCTATATTGCGCCTCCCAAATTCTGTGAAATATCTGCAGCGCGTGGTGCTGCCACATAGACGTAGAAAGTTGCGAAGTATATGACTGTAATAATCGGAAAGGAAAAATGTTGTGGGTTTAGCTGAACTGTGAACTGATTGCGACTCAGGATTTTACACCTTGTTTAGAAAGTTGGGTGAAAGCCCCGTATTTTGTTTAGGGTGGTGATCCCTTGGAATGCATCTCAATTTCTTGAATTGAGAATTCTTGTATTCCTAATATCATTTTATAGCAGAGGCTACTCTACATAGTGAGCGGTAGCCCAATATTATTTTGACTGGTTCAAAGAGTGGTAGAAGTTTAAGCGGATGCTTTAGCAACCTACTAGTCGGCAAAAGAGCGTGATTTATTAATCCGTTACATAATAAAGCAGATTATTCCACTTAACATGGTATCCATATTCTATCCTATCCGCTTTATATGCCTTTTTGGTTTCTCAGTTCTTCTACTTTTCTGTTTTTTCCTTCTTTGAGCTTGTTTTTCAATTTATTTTTGAGAAGAGAAGGTAGAATGAGAGGGATTATTTAGTTTTTACCTAGTTCTTTGTTAATCTTTTGATTCTCCAATCAAATTGATTCGTCAATTTATATTTTGATGTGCAATGCTCTGTTTTTTAAAACTCCTATGTGTTATTTGCATACATACAAATTTAATGAATTCTATGCGCACACACATCCATTTCCAATAGTTCATTAACCTATACCATATCTTGCGAATGTCATCTTATTCATGTGAATAATACTCTGATGAACAATACTCACATTTAGAAAATCAGAGAAACTAGAAGCCTTTTGACTTGCACCAAGGTTTTTTTTCCTAAATGAGATCTTGATTGCTTAGTGTTAGAAATATTCATAGTTGACTATTTGCATTATGAATTCTTTCTATGATGAAATTGGAGTTTAATTTGGTCAATACCAACTTGCATTTAGTCTTAACTCTTAATCACTTCCTTTAATATATATACCAAAAAATTTCCTCCTATTCTTTTTACTCTTCTGTAAAATCAGATATATACATTTCTAACTTATATATATTGTCTATTTTACATTCATGAATTTTTAAATAATTTTATCGAATCTCGAAATCATTTAATCTGTAATAACAACTTTCGATCAAAAAAGAGTTGCGTTTAGAAGCATCTGGTTGCTGGTGTATGGTTGCAAAGTTGTCATTGGGTGAGATAAACATACTTGCACCTTACTTGGGAGCATATATATGAGGATGTTGTATATCCTATATGTGCATGTTTAGGTCAACATGCATGCACATGTGTTGGCCTAAGTTTTAACAACAACTATAAAAAGTAAAACTTAATGATACACATGCTCATTGTGAATAAGGGTGAGCAAACGGTCGGTCGGGTCGGTTTTAACCATTTTAGATGAGACCAAACCAAAAAATTTTCAGGTCGGTTCGGTTGATTTTTGGCTTGTGCCATCCCTCTCCACCAAGCAACAACAAGATCTAGTATGAGCGCAATCAAGAACAAGGGCTATCACTATTTGCCACAGACAATAAATAGAAAAATCAAAGAAGAGAAATTGGAGGAGAAATAAAGAAAATAAAGGTTGAAGATGAAGGACAAAGCTTAATGGATGATTAACTTTTTCAATTTAGTTATGGCAACTGCAACAAGAGGGGCCATGATTGCATGGTTTTGATTTTGATATTTGAGGGATTATTACCTCTTCATTCTTTTAGCAAGAGTTGGAGACAACTTGCATGAGGACTAGGTTTAACTCAGGTTGGTGGGTTGGCCCCACAAAGAAATAAACTATCGGGTACAGTTATAAGGTATTGTCTACTGATTGAGAATTTAAAGGAGCGGTATTGCGGTCCGTTCGGTGAAAACGGCTTAACAGGTGTTCGACCCGACTTGAGCCGAACAAAATATGAAACTGAACCGAACCGTCAGAAATCGGACGATTCAGTTGGTTTGTTCGGTTTATGCCAAACTTTGCTCAGCACTAGTCGTGAAGTACTTCTATATATAAGACTTTAAAAAGCAAAGATTTGGTTTACTTGTTCCTGAGTTTCTTTTCCCATGTACCTTTAAGTAAAGTCAGTAGAATGCCTCACTTTCAGTTTGTTGTTCGGCCTACATATGCTATGGAAACAAGTTTCAAACAAAAAAGATGCAAGGTAGACACTCATAATAGCTTATATTGTTTATTAGGTTGTCACCATTGGGCAGCTCGCAGAGTCTGCTGACTATAAGATAGGAATCTGTTGTGCCTTGATTGCTATCTGGTCATGTTGATGGTTAGCCTTATCCATCAGTCACCTAACCCACTAAACCTTAACCATTGCAAAGTTCTAATTAGATAATTAATTGACTTAGATTCTTGAGGGCTGACAAGGGCAACCGGATGGTAGCTAGCATCGTGCTTTACTGCTATTAGGCAATACTTAAGTCCCATATGAGCATTGTTGCTTTTAGAGGAAAGGGGAAAAAAGAACAGGTGAGCAAAGGAAAAGGGTCCAAATGATTTAAATGAGAAGTATGAGAATCCTTTTCTTAGGCTGCCATTATTATTCGCAAACAAGAGAAGGGAGAAGGAGAACTCTAAAGGACTTTTGTTTTTAACCTTTGTATCCTATTGTTGTTCATCCACTATGAAGAAAACGACTAGATTTATCTTGGAATTATTGTCTAGATTCAGTTTCGTTTAACCTTTTTATTAAGAAATTTGTTGATCTGCTATTTTGTGAGGGTCGAGTTCATTACAATTTTGTTCAATAGTGGGTAAGTGGCCATAATGGCAGACAGTGGAAACGGGCAAACAAGAGAAGGGAGAAGGAGAAATCAAAGGACTTATGTTTTTAACCTTTGTATCCTATTGTTGTTCATCCACTATGAAGAAAACAACTAGATTTATCTTGGAGTTATTGTCTAGATTCAGTTTTGTTTAACCTTTTTATTAAGAAATTTGTTGATCTGCTATTTTTTATGAGGTTCGAGTTCGTTACAATTTGGTTCAACAGTGGGTAAGTAGCCACAATGGCAGGCGGTGGAAATGGGCATGAAAGGTGTCGTGATGTTTATCATACTATTGATGTTGTATTTGTATCTTTCTTTCTTTCTTTTTTTTTTTGGTTAGGTGCTATTGTCTCTTTCTTGAGCAAAAAGCCAAGTTGGCTTCATAGCTTAAGCTCCCATTTTGACCACTTTTGGGGACAATGTATAATACCTTGTTCATTGTTGTATTTTCATCATTCTGTTCTTGTGTACGATAAGATAACTTATATATAATCTCATTATTAAGTTTGCTTCTCATCAATCTTTAAAAATAGCCTTACATACATTCTAGGAAACAAGGTTTTAAATGTCGGATGTAGGAGACACATCAGATGACTAAAATCCATGTCAAATTGTGAATATTTGGGGAAATATCAGGAATATGTAGTAAATTTTGGGATTGCCATATCGGATGGTGTGCTTAAATAATATAATGTCCTAAATGCAACATAAACATACTTAATAATATCTATAGTCTACAAATACAAAATATAAGTAACATATGATGTTTAGGATCACTAATCGATTCTAGAAACATGCTTATCGATTGCATGAGAAAGTGAGCAAGAGAGAGATAGAATGAGAGGGAGGGGGGGGGGGGGGGGAAGAGC